TAATTAACACATTAATCTCAACCTTAAATATTTACAACTCAGATTGCAGGAACGAATTTCAAGATTGTACTTCCCCGAAGACAGAACATACAGTATAGCAATGGTAGGGTCCAAAAAACAAATTCTTTATATGCATGATATAGAAATTCCAAATTATATACGGCACACTCTTTTGTTAGCGATCTTTCACAACTCGTAAATAAAAATCGTACGCACTCACCAACCTGGAAGTAAAGTAATCTATGTATATTGAATTGAAATCTACGTTCTATCGTCACAAACAAGAAATTGGGCATGGCGTAAGCCGTTTTCTGTAGCTGGTAGGAAAGGCATTGTGTTCAACTATCTGCAACATTACGTGGATCTTACAATGGAATTTACTTCAATCTTTTTTCTCGCGCGTGATAAAGCAATGTCAGTTTTATTTTACTCAACAAGGTTGGGCGAAAATTTTAAAAACAATTTGCGTTTCCCTAGTAAAATGTCCGGGATCATCACTGATAAGAGATCAAAAGTGAACGGTTTAAATACGAGATTTATACTATCATCAGAACGTAATTAACGTTTTATTTCCCATGCATCAACCTAGGTCTGCATGGCTGATTAATTGTCTGTTTCGTCGAGTTTGAAGCAAATTGCTAAAATGCATATTTATTATTATATTATATTGATCATTATTGTTACATTAAAAAGTTGTTATACGTGTATACAAATGTTAACATCGTCATAAATTTTTAATCAGAAAGCATCATGAAAGTCTGATTAGACGTACCATTTGCTGACTTAGAAATCACTGTATTTGATGTGGCACGCATCACTGACGTTGTACCTACAACTATGAAACAATGGAATTAATGCAGAAAATGTTTCCACATAGATAAATAAGTCATATAAGGCCAGATCAAACCACCATCTACTTCTTGGTTGATCACAAATGGTTTTCATGGTATAGTCAGTTTCAAAAGCAATTCTCACATATCACCTTTTACTGCAGTTGATGATTGGTTTACTGTCATCGTTACGACATGTGCAGATACGGACATTGTACCTGCAACATTGAAAGATAGACTTACAACATTTTACATAGTAGTTGAAAATATATACCAGATGCAAGCCCTTCAAAAGTCAATGGTAAATAAAACATTAATCTCAACCTTATATATTTACAAATCAGATTGCAGGAATGAATTTCAAGTTTGTACTGCCCTGAAGACGGAACATATAGCAATGGTAAGGCCCGTTTACATGGGCGATTTTTGCTGCGATTTTAGTTGCGATTTTCTCCTTTGGAGGATCGATGTGAAGGAGTGTACGAGTTATAAATGTTCCAGATTATGAAATCTCATAACAACATCATTAAATAATCTACTCCTTCAGATCCTCCAAAAGGAGAAAGTCGCAACTAAAATCGCAGCAAAAATCGACCGTGTAAACGGGCCTGTAGAATCCAAAAACCCGATTCTTTATATGCATGATATAGAAATTCCTCAAATTATATATGCTCACTCTTTTGTTTAGCGATCTTTCACAACTAGTACTCGTAAATAAAAATGGTACGCACTCACCAACCTGGAAGTAATCTATGTATATTGAATTGAAATCTACGTCCTATCGTCACAAACAAGAAATTGGGCATGGCGTATATCTTCTCTGTAGCTGGTAGGGAAGGCATTGTGTTCAACTATCTGCAATATTACGTGGATCTTACAATGGAATTTACTTAAGAGATCAAGATAAGAGATCAAAAGTGAACGATTTAAATAGGAGATTTATACTATTATCAGAACGTAATTAACGTTTTATTTCCCATCAACCTGAACCTGGCTGATTAGTTGTCTGTTTCGTTGAGTTTGAAGCAAATTGCATATTTATTATTATACAATATTGGTCATTATTGTTACATATTATCATAAATATTTAATCAGAAAGCATCATGCAAATTGATAAAACGTACCATTTGCTGACTTAGAAATCACTGTATTTGATGTGGCAGGCAGTACGATCGCTGATGTTGTACCTGCAACTATGAAACAATAGAATTAATGCAGAAATTTTTCCGCAGATAAGGCTGGATCAAACCATCACTCTTGGTTAATCTCAAATGCTTGGTTTTTATGACTGATCTTAAATAATATAAAAGACTATACAAAGTCTTCCGCATTTGGATGAAAATCAAGTTTACTGACTTTTGTTGTCATGGATGTATCAACCACCAAGGACAGTCGCCCCAGTAGATCTAAGCGCATGTTGTGCCCTTGCAAGGTTTTTATAATGCGCTTTTTTAAGAGAAGTAAATCTCGGGTAGGAACATATCTAAACATTCGTTTACCCATGGAAAAGTGCAAACCTTCTAAAGTACGCCTATATATGATCTACTGCATGTAATCATGCAGTTCCTCGACAAGTATAAACTAAGTCATAAACGGCATTATTTCATCTCCAAGTACCATTAAAACAAATTTCATGCAGTAAGCTTCCTGCAGTGTCAGTGTGTGGAAAGCAGCCTTATTTAATCCGTCGTTGTAGTTTTAGTTTACTACTAGAAGTTACTATCGCAAGGAAAGTGCTGCCTCACTCCCAAAGGGATCATGCGCAATTTGCTGAATAAGGGATTGTGTACTTGATCCCGCTTTGCCAGGACGATATTTGAGACAGGATTATTTTGATGCACTGAAAATAACAAACTTACTCACAGTGCACGATTCAGCAAAAAACTACATTAAGAGATAGATTATAAACTGTAAACGAAAGGCTGTTCAAGAGGCAATAATAATCTTCTTCAACTACAAGACTTTTCTATAACATTTGGTTTCTTTTAACAAGCATTTGAACTTTCATTTAGCTTATAGTGACTTATTTCAACCGCCTTCCAACATGTAAACAGCCCCTAAGAGGCCTGTTTGGGAGGTAAGAAAAGTGCAATTTGAATATCAAACACCTTGCACAAAGTCGAAGCTCAGCTAAATATTCTAATTCCACTTTCTTGGCATGGGCGGTTTTATATGATTACCATAATTAAAATACTGTCTGTGGCAAAGCTAGCCATAGCAACAGGTCATGCTCTGAAAGTTTTTAATGATTTGTATTATTCAAATGATGCAGGTTTATTAGCATAGCATGACCAGTTGCCATGACTAGCTTGCCACTGAATACTGTATAATATCAATTTTCAATTAAAGTCAGTTTTTGTCCCAATTATCGTTTTAATGGCACCTTCAAGGCTACCCCTATCGTAGAACAACCGAACAATCTGCTGATCGGGAGACATAATCTATTGGTTGACATTTTTGTTCAATATGTCAGCTTCAGATGACATCACCCATTGTAATGATTAAGATTATACTCAGTCAGAACTGCAAAACTATAAGATAAGATAGAAATAGTGAGCACTACTGAAAAATATAGTACACCCTGAAATGTAGTGACACAACCAGGTGAATATAAATGTAGGATTATTTCAGAGATATAAGCAGATCGTAATTCCTTGTACACCGTAAAGTCAATTGACATGCCATTATGAATTTATGCACCAGTCAAAGTAAACGCCACAACCCAATGAGGGGATTTGGTGGGGATTCAATGGCCTTTTGTCATCGAATTCTGTCCCAACCATGTTGGGAAATTGCTGGTTTTTGCTGCCGAATTATGCCCGGAAGATAGTGGGGATTGTTAGAGGATTGTCGGCAGCCATTTTGTACTATTTTGTCCAATGGAATCCACAGATTCTACCATTTTATACCATGTAACAAAGGTCAAAATGGCGTGCTCGCAAGGAATTCGAGAGGTTTTTTATAAATATAATTTGTTATAATTCACTAATTACACTATTTTAATGTTTGATATTAAGAGATAAATTCGCTTACACGACTTACAATTTTCCCGCGGGAGGGAGGTGGGGCATTTTTTGTCTTTTGCCATATTTTGTCCCATATGGTGGGGCATTTGTCTGTTTTGGTACACTATTCAAAGCCAATTCCCACCTTTATCCCGGGGTGGGGGTTGGCGTTTACTTTTACTGGTGCTGTATTACATGTAACTGTTGGTATAAGTTAATATGTGCACACAACGTCAACAATCCACACTGGGACACGGGGTTGCTATAGGAATCTTTATATTAAGCCTGATTATTATTAAAGACTTGCATACATCTAGAATGAACTCATCGCATTGGCCTTGGTACATCGCCACACAAACAAATAAACTAAAATAAATCGTGACTCCGTGTATAAATAAGACATTATTGACGAATAGGTCAAGACAACCGCCGATGAATGAGAATAAATTTATGAAATCATATTGTTTCAATACTTCTATAGTATACTATATCAAAACAGCATAAATATTATGTAAATATAAATGCCTTCATGTATATCACATGAAAGATATAAAGCCAACATTACCTGATTTATTCGTGAAAATCCAACAAACTGCATGTAAATAAGCTCGTATTAACTGAAATCCTGAGAAGAATCATGAGTGCACAAAACAAAATAAAGTTTGACCGCCCCCCTCGTTTAAAAAACGTCCTGAAGCTTTAATTATTTCCCCAGAAAAACGAAATCCGGAGAGACACAAAATCGAGATAGTACATCGACAGTACATAGATCGCGCAAAAGACTGAGTCGAGTGGACTCTGAAGAAACCATAGCACGTCAGGTATAGTGTGCTACCTCGCTTCACTCGGCAGATAAAATACAGTACAGTCAGTTTCATAAACATTTCGCACATATCACATTTTACTGATGATGACTGGTTCAATGTCGTCGTTACGAAGTATGTAGATAAATATATTGAACCTGCAACATTAAAAAGTTAATTAATTAACACAATCTTATAAAATTTTACACAGTTAGAAAACTAATACATACAAGATGCAAGCCCTTCAAAAGTCAGTTGTAATCGAGCTATGATACCCAAAATCTTGAATATCTACGTATATACCTTACACTGGCATCACCTTAGTACGCAAGAACATGATTAAGGTTAATGCTCGCCAACTGCATTCAGTAGCTCAGTGTTCACAGCACTGCACCAGAATCGCAGAGTCGCTGTTTCGAGTCCTGTCAGAAAGCCTACGGCTACATGTTTGCATTTCTTCGCAGCTGCTTCCGGTTAGGAAATATAAGTTCCCAACGATGCAGAAATTTTGATGGTCCTGAAGAGGGCATTTCAACATATGATTTTGAGGGAGAATATTATTCGTGCAAATGGACATTTGCATTATAGACTAAATTTTGATCTAGCCAAAAATTTCATCACAGCTTGAAAGAGCATCACAAAATTAGTAATATTCCAAAGTTTCGTTGCGAAATGTTGTAAAATGTGGATAATATAGCCATGCGAAGTTTGCCGTTTTTCAGTCATTTTGTATTACGCACGGGAAATTGACAGTCCAATCGGGTGTTGGGGCATCAATTTCCCGTTTGTAATACAAAATGACTGAAAATTGCAAATTTCGCAAGGCTATATTATCCGCATTTTACAACATTTCGCAACGAAACTTTGGAATATTACTAATTTTGTGATGCTCTTTCAAGCTGTGATGAACTTTTTGTCTAGATCAAAATTTAGTCTATAGTGCAAATGGTCCATTATTAATATGTTCTAGACTCTAGTCATGAGCTATTGAAAACAAGGCACAAAATTCAAGGTGATATTTCGACTCATTTCAACTATTTACAAGCGTCCAAGATAATAGCAGTCAGAAAGATGACGTAATCAGTTGAAAAGTTATTGCTGGTTACGTCATGTTCCTAACTATCTACAAGCACGATAGATAGACAATGACATTAACTTTGAAATAGAGTCGAAATATCATCTTGAATTTTGTGTCTCCAGTAGCTCATATCTTGAATTTACAAACTAAGTATGTTTTACCTGTCTTATTGTCGGTATTTGTTCATTTTTCTCTACCCCTAGTGATTTTCGATGGATTTGTGAAAACCCATGAAAAAAGTGTCGCGATATCACATGATTAAGTTTGCATTCGCTATTTATTATCCCTATACAATATCACGATGTGCTCCTGTTTTACTGTAGGCATTTGTACACGTGTCTACGGCGTACTCGAACTGCGACAGAGATGTTATTGAAGAAAAATTCTACCCGCCATCTATCGATGTTAAGAACGTCTTGGAAATTGCCAAGTAAGTTTATAGGTTTTCATTATAAAGGAGTTAGCCTTTTTAGCTCACCTATTTTTTTCTTCTTTCCTGCCCTAATCCTGTTTTCCATACGGTTAGCGAGATTTTCCGAGGAGGTGGAAAAGCTGTACTGTCTTCTCATAGTCAATCAAATATGGTCTGGAAACTCTGCGGGAATCTTTCGTTCTACCTTATTGTTCATGTTTATGCGAACTTATTCCCGGTGAAGACAATGTATTTTTTGCATAATAAAGCAACCATCCAGTGGTATCATTTTTCGACTCACTCAACCGTATACTGTAGAAATATTAAGGAAAGTTTCAAAAGATTTGTGCATGGTGAAGGCATTTCAACATAAAATCATAGCTCATTATATATAGACACTTTGAAGTGTCCCGAGTTTCCAGAGCATATATGTCGATTGACTATGACTATCTTTCCACTTTCATAGGGGGGCAGGGACCAGATAAGAGCATATCCGATGTTACGAAACAGAAGAGTATATCACATTTCTTAACTGTTGCATGTACAGCGCGAAATTTCAGCTCTTTAGCGTAGCATTTTATTAAATGCCCTTTTATGCAACTTCATCGTTACCATACAGCATATACAGGAGGGTGTCCTCAAAAATGCAGTACTGTAGCTGTGTTTCAGATTTTTTGCAAAGCTTATTATTTATGGGCATATATACAGCATTTTGAATAGAAGTATAAATGCCCAAGCGTGTGTTAGAACTGCCCAGTGTGTCAAGCTTGGTTGTTATTTTCAAATATTTAGTTGGATGAACGATCAAATGATGAGGGATGTAACTCCAGCACTCCTCGAGAAACGGCCAAACACCTACACCTTCACGAAGTCATTGGCAGAGTCGTTGTTATTCAAACATGGACATGATTTACCTATTGCTGTCTTCCGTCCTTCAATTGTTGGAGCTTCACTTAGAGAACCTATGCCAGTAAGTTATTGGTACTGTACATTTCCATGTAGGTAATGAACACGTAATTTGACTGCCACCGTTTTGGGTGACAAATGTTTAAAGCTAAATAGAAATATACACGGCGTCAATTCGCTGTCAAAATTTCACAGTTTTACTTCGATAGACCTCCAGTTGAGACAATTTTCTGGCGAATGGATCTATTCCCTAATGAACAAAATTTTGATCTAGACAAGTCTAGACAAAAATTTTATCACAGCTTGAAAGACTATCACAAAATTAATAATATTCCGAAGTTTCGTTGCAAAATGTTGTAAAATGCGGATAATATAGCCCTGCGAAGTTTGCCGTTTTTCAGTCATTTTGTATTACGCACGGGAAATTGATACCCTTTTTCAGAAAGCGGTAGGGAATAGTTCCATTGAGACAATCATTAGGGAATAGGTCCATTGAGACAGTGGTTTCTTTTGCTGTCCATATAGTGCCGACCATTGCTTTTGCCACCCAAAATCGCGTGATTTGTTCACGTTACGTAATATTCACGCGCGACTGCGAGACCTGAGTATACATAAAGCCCGTATTCAATTTCAATCGCATCGTAATGTACCGAAGACTCCATTTGTGTCACAGTAAACAGTATACTGTCCTGGTGCTCAGGGCGCTAAGAATTTCGCTACCTTTCGTTACGATATGGTAATTGAAGTAGAAAACGGGCTTTAGTTTTGGGATGGACAAAGACTTTTGTTTTTGACGAGGGGGTAAAATGAAAAGATGTCCAGTTTAGGACGGGCATGAGATTGGCAAGGACACCTCTGGCTTCTATCACAGGACCATTTTCTGAGAAACATGAAGAGAAAGTTTTAAACATGATTTCTTATACTGCCAAATCAACTGAAAAACTCCCACTTTCTGGACTCTGGAGGTGCGAGTCCGGAATCGAAACACTGCATGCATGGAAAGCGTTGAAGTCGTCGAAAATATTTCGTGGACTTAGTATAGGAAATTACACGGTTCGAGAAGTATTAATGAAAAATCGCACGCGTGTTTGGCGAAATATTTATAATACCGCGAGTGCGTAGCACGAGCTGTATTATAAATATTTCGCCAAACACAAGTGTGATTTTTTCATTAATACTTCGAGAACAAGTGTAATTTCCTATTAATATAATTTTATAGTCAATTTTACACGAGCAATCAATGATAAGAAACATTTTATATATATGCGTTTTTTAATGGCACACTATCACAAAAAATTGAATTACAATGTGCTTACAATAATTACATAACTAAGTTAATAAGGATACAATAAGTTTAATACTATATTTACAATTTAAAAATTTAGATGTGAGGAAAGTATATATTGTAATAGTTTAGATATTCAAAAACTAGTGTCATGATGACATATTTAAAACTCGAATCATACTTGGGAAAAAGCTTTTCTGAAAACGATCAGTTCTACATTTGAACAATGACCAATTGTTAGCGTTACGTAAATCGTAGTTCACGTTTTCTCTAGTCTGAGGTAAGAGAGAAACAAGCGGTTGCCATCAGTTATCTTTTTTATCGTTCTTCCACACAAAGCATCGCGTCTCTCATCTAGGCGAGAACAATGGAGCTGACTCAAAGCTTCACGGTAAGACCTGCCAGGGAGGATTATATTGAGTGCTTTTTTCTGAACTCGTTCAATGCTGGTAGATTGTTATGCCATACAATGCAGCAGTACTCTAGTACGGAGCGAATGAGAGCATAGTAAATAAGGATCAGTTCATGAGGTGGGATTCCACCCCTTTTAAGAACTCTAAGAATATGAAAACGCTTGGAGGCCTTTTTAACAATCATGGCAATATGCCCATTCCACTTAAGATTATCCTGTATAACCAAGCCGAGAACCTTATGATGGGAAACGATTTCCAGGGGGTGTCCCCTCAAATTGAGACGTTCTAAAATGGGTCGCTCTTTGAGGAAACATACGTGCATCTCTTTGCATTTCTTTGGATTTAGCTTCATTAGGTTGTTATCAGCCCATGTGTTGACCTCATCAAGGTGATTCTGCATACGGGATTCACTGTTTCTTGACAGGGACTCTGAAATGGATACATCATCCATGAATTTCCAAGTACCAGTATTCCCTGGGGATGGGATCTTTAGATCGTTGATCGTAATCAAAAATAAGATTGGTCCCAATTTTGTACCTTGTGGTACACCGGCTGTAACCGTCAACCAGTCCGAGGTAGCGCGACCAAGTCTAACAACACTGTCTACGGTTAGATAGAAAACTTATATTCCATGAGATCAGAGAGCGCCTTACTCCGATATCGATAAGCGTACTAATAAACACATTATGTCCGATACGATCGAAGGCCTTTGTGTAGTCTAAAAATAATAGACGGATATGCTTATCAGGAGAGTCAAGGTGGAATAGCCAATTATGTATCATATCGAGAAGGCAGTATGCTGTTGATGATCCTTTCAAACAACCAAATTGCTGTACGTCAAGATTATTCACGACGTCTTTCATCATCCATTGTACAACAAAGTCCTCCAGGACTTTGGAAAGACAAGGGGTTTGTTTACATTTTGAAGTGAATGCTACAGTTGTAAAATATGATTAGATATATACTGTATTATACCGAATTTTTAACTCTTCTGGTTCGCTATACTTGTAAATGAATACAGACAAGAGATTCAATTCAAGAAAGTTTGGAAGGTGCGAAATATTAATAACATTCCAATGGTCGGGTCCCGACCACTGGAATGTAGGCCTGCGCAGAACGTATGCGCAGAACGGACTTTACATGGTCTTAAAGTACAAGTCCACAGCAGCGCAAATAAAGTAGCCCGTCTTGTAATAGTACATTAGGGCCATTTATACGAGAGAAAATAAGTCGCGACTTAGGCTAATTAAGACGCGTCTTATTTAAGTCACGAACACACTCGCATAAATGGTCAATTTGTTCGTGACCAATGTAAGTCGCGACTAAAATAAGAACACGGGTTTATGCTGGCAAAATAAGTCGCGACTTAACAGAAATTGACCATTTATACGAGTGTTTTCGTGACTTAAAGTGCCTATGACACGAAATTTCACCCCAAAGGTTTATGGTTGCATTGTAAAGATCATTTAAAATGACTTAATAATTTCTTGTATAGAATTTTGGTAACTTGCTCCCTTTTCAAGATATTCAACTTTGTTTCATATGCAAATATCACCGGTGTAACATCACATCACATAATGAGTTTTCAGAAAAGTATAGTTTTCTTGACGAATACGTATCTAAAAAACTTAAAAATTGCCCTTGTATATGTATTAATTTCGTAACTGGTAATTAACCGACTGTATTTGTTTGTAAAAATATTTTATCAAAGTAAAATATTGCGTTTTCAAAATGTCATTATACGATGTGATGTCACACCGGTGATATTTGCACATGAAACAAAGTTGAATATCTTGCAAAGGAAGCAAGTTACTAAAATTCTATAAAAGAAATTATTAAGTCATTTTAAGTGATCTTTACAATGCAATCACAAACATTTGGGGTGAAATTTCGTATCATAGGCACTTTAAATAAGACGCGACTTAATTAAGTCGCGACTTATTTTCTCTCGTTTAAATGGCCCTATTGTACTATTGTAATCTTTCCAACGCTGTACGGTTTTCTATGTTTATTTCTGTAGGGATGGATTGATAATTTCAACGGTCCAAGTGGTTTACTTGTAGCTGTAAGTACTTAATCGTATGTTTTTATACCCATTTGACCGCGCAATATTGTAGACCCAATGGATAACACGTATTTATGACAGTTGCCACACAATATTGTAAATACTTTGTTACTTTTGTTCCATATTATGCTACCATTTTATGCTATACCATTATTTCGGAAGTAAACAAAAATTTTATTTTGGCCATGTTATATGATTCTTCGTCATTATGTCCATCATTTTATGTGTTTCTTTAGTAGAGCATTTAATTGAAATAATTCCATAAGCTTTAACCATATTTTACTATCTGGCCACTGTATCATACGACTTGTTCGGACGTATGCTGAGCACAATAGTATATAAAAAGCGTTCGTCCCAACCTTGATGTTTTGTGATCAGTTAGCCAAGATAACTTCTCGTTGAGAAACCCCAAATTTAGGTGAGCGGCCCTTGCTATTCATCTGAAAAGATTAACTAGTGGTTGAAATTCATTGTGAGTTGTATTCTATTGTGAGTTTTAAATTTTTTTTCGTCTTGCCTCTTGCGAAAGCAACGATTCGCGTGAGCATTTGCGAGCGTTTTGAGTAGACTCTAAACGATTTGCAATAATTAATACCTGAAAATACAATAGCAGAATTATCTACTAAATCATCGTACTGACTTTTGGACTCGAAAGAACTAAATGTTGAAGGGTTTATTGAAGATGAAAATTTTGAGGGAGGACCGCAAGTTAGATTTCTGTCAGAGGGCCTATCGAGTGAGACGCCCAAAATCCTAGAACTTATTTTACATACACTTTCTACAAAGCTTTTTTTTAAATTTGAAGATTTTATTTAAAATTTTAAGACCGAAATAATGACGATGGACCAGTGTTTTGTATAAATGAACGATGATTGATTTAAATTTTCAGGCAGGTAAAGGTGTATTGCGATCAATGATTGGTGATGTGAATGCTGTGTCGGATATCGTTCCAGTTGATATTGCAGTTAATATGTTAGTCGCTGTTGGATGGTACGCTGGTACAAAACGGTAAGTATACTACTCATCGTTACTAATTGCACAATGAGAAACCTCGTATTGTAACAACTATAATAGATATCTCCAAACGCAGATTAGTTGATCATGCACTTAAAAGAACAGCCAGTAGCAAAAGACTTACCTGTGGTGCTGTTTATATGGAGGCTGGGCCGGTTAGCGAAACAGCCCGGTAAGCGAGAAGATTTGCTAATTCGCCAGATCCGCCCTTGGAATGAGAAAGTTGAATCCCGACATTGTTTTTGACACTAGTTTTCGCCGGTGAGTGTTGTGCATATATGGAGAAATTTCATTCCAGTAAGCGAGATTCCGCTATGCGGCCCAGCCCGGCGTCCATATATAAACAGCCCCTAAGATTCGTTTATATTCTAAGAGTATTTAGAGCATTCTGTAGCATTTTTGTTATTTAACAATTATTCACCGAACTGAAGATGAAGAGTGCAAGGTGAGTATGGTATTCTTTAAAGCTATTTCTATTTTCTAATAAACAAAATTACTAAAAGCGTGTAAATGCTGTTTTGTTAGCAAATATGACGGGAGCTGAAATACAAATTGTCTTGAAAAGACTTTCGTTGCTTTTTGGTCATTTTTGTTTTGTTGTGATATATGCTAAAACAATTATTCACCTCAGTCTTGGTAAATAGTGCAAGCTCTACACACTATGCATAGATTGCTAATTTGTCCTCCAGATGCATCGTCACCGGCGCTGTGACGTCATGTGCAATGGGTCTATATGCTAATGTGTTTTATTATGTTTTACTTTCATGCATGTATGCATGTGACTTGCAAGCAATCGCTTGCAACCACTCGCTTGCAAGTAGCGATGGCATGGAAAATTTCAAACCCCTATAAGAATGTGGAAGTAAGGAGCGACATATTATCATCAAAGATGGCTGGATTCCATGTTGGCAAACTGATTTACTTGGATAAGTTTCCTGTGTAGCCTGCGAAATTTCGAGCAGAACTTCTGGTATCCTTCTGGTATTTGGAGCTTAGAATTCTGATATCCTCTTTGGATACTGAAAAAAATCAGTCGGTTCAACCTTTTATCTTAAGTCCAGTATGATTTGAATAATGTGTCGTTTGTTCTTTACTTCTCCTTAACCGTAACTCGTAGCTATTTGTTTTAACACTTCTACATGCAGTATACATAAATTATACATCGGTTACAACCCTTACAATAGATAATGTTTAATCAGGGATTATTCTGTCTTTGCAGGTCACAAAGTATCCCAATATTCCACTGCGCAACCGGCACTATCAATCCAGTTACTTGGGGAGATTTATGTAAGCCAAACCCTATTATTGTACATCGTAGGATTTTCGAAAGTTCCCGTACGTACTACCTTAAATGATCTAGTAAACGTCTACAGGCCTGCGAATTAGTGCCGGTCATCGGACATTGTCCGGCCAAATTTTACCTTTTGTCCAATCAAAATTTTTTATGATCGGACATGTAACCGACCGATTTAGGTTGGTCAGATGTCCAATCTCAAAAAAATGATTTTGAACACAATTTCATTAATGAAACCAAAGCAATATAAACGACACTCTTCCATTATAATTTCGTGGCTACATTAAGCCGTAAGATTTAATTACAAATATAAACCGTCTTCTTATAACATGGTAGATATTAAAGTTATGACTATAATGACTTATGTATGACCTGAACCATAATTTACTGAAAATGCAGTGTAGGACTTTTTGATTTATACGCAGTTTTAGATGCACTGCAGTGCAGACCAACATGACAACATTACACCAATATTATAACCATTGGCTTTTTCAATCTCAACATTTAGAAAACCCTCGTATATTCTGACTACCTCGGCATATATCTTTTGCACATGTTACTGTGTCCATATATGGCATTATTTAATGTCCATTACGTCATTGTTTACTACAATAACCAGCCGAAATACACCATGCTAATATGAAAAAGACCATGAAAAATTTTCCTTTGTCCATTGTCCGAGAAAAACTGATAAGATCGGACATCTGTCCTTCCAGGCAAAATAATTATTTGCAGGCCTGGTCTAAAAGTATATATACTGTACAGTTACGCTCGAAAATTCCATCTACAAAAAGAGCCATCCACTCTCAAATAATTGCCGGATCCTGAGTTTGCCTTTTTCAAATGTTCCTCAAAAGTGCGTAAAAACGATGGAAAATGTGACTGTACATTACGTATACTTATTTCATAAAGGGGTGGGATGGAGGGAGTTTAAACTTTTCGGTTTAATAGCTCCTCACAATTGACCATTTGCGTAATAGACTAAATTTTGAACTAAACAAGTCTAGACAAATTAAGTTCAATTTTGTAATCTAAAATGACTGAAAATTGCAAATTTCGCAAGGCTATATTTTCCGCATTTTACAACATTTTGCAACGAAACTTTGGAATATTACTAATTTTGTGATGCTCTTTCAAGCTGTAATGAAATTTTTGTTGGGATCAAAATTTAGTCTATTACGCAAATGGTCAATTTGCATGCCACATGCACAGATAAAGACCATATGTTGTGCGAGCAGCGCATGCAAGGCACACCCCAACAGCGGCACCCAACTTCCGGTTTACTAGTTATTAACTTTGGTTAATGTGTAACCACGTTTATTATTAGCATGACAAAATTACTCGATGCTGATTGGTTGAGAGGAGTACAATTATTTCATTAATTGTACTGCAGTACAATTAATGATTTTCCCAAAACAAACAAAATGGCGGAAAGGTATTTTAAACACAAATGTGAAATGAAATTGCCCTCGAAGAACTAGACGAAAATACGAACAAAAGCACGAAATTTTGCTTTAACAAAAGAACTAGACGAAAATACGAACAAAAGCACGAAATTTTGCTTTAACAAAAGAACTAAATGAAAATACGAACAAAAGCACCAAATTTTGGTTGAAAGTCTGGCAGGACTGGGCTTTTAATAGCGGGAGAATATGATGTTGACATTGAGAAGTTGAAAGTCTGGCAGGACTGGGCTTTTAATAGCGGGAGAATATGATGTTGACATTGAGAAGTATCCAATTTTGTCATGCTAATAATAAACAAGTAATCATGCGATGTTGCTCGTACAATGCACCTTTCCCCTTATAACTAAAATTTCGATCTAGACAAAAATTTCATCACATCTTGAAAAGCATCATAAAATTAGTAATATTTCAAAGTTTTGTTGCAAAATCTTGTAAAATGCGGATAATATAGCCTTGCGAAGTTTGCCGTTTTTCAGTCATTTTGTATTACAAACGGGGAATTGACATCCGATTCGGGTGTTGGGGCTGCAATTTCCCGTTTGTAATGCAAAATGACTGAAAATTGCAAACTTCGCAAGGCTCTATTTTCCTCATTTTACAACATTTCGCAACGAAACTTTGGAATATTACTAATTTTGTGATGCTCTTTCAAGCTGTGATGAAATATTTGTATAGACTTGCCTAGATCAAAATTTTGGTTATAAGGGGAATGGTCCGGCGGCTCGTCCAATTTTGGCAAAATTTCGAAACATCACTCGTACTATTAATCCCTAATTGTACTCGCCATCGCATGATTACCTATACTAATAATTGGTAAATTTGATTACTTATAATAAGATTACGTAATATAAAGCATTCGCACTACGCTTCGTCTTGTAAGGGAAGCGGTAATTATTTATGGCAGGGGTGGCACCGAAGAGAAATGTTTTTCTTGCTGATCCAACCATTAGAAATTTAAAAAAAATTACCCAACCTCAAATATCAATTAAAAAATTAATACCCACCTCTGGCCAAAAACTTGACAAAAGGATGCCATTCAGTTGTCACACATATCTTTACCATTTCTGTGATATGTGTTTGATAACTGCTTGTGCAATTTTCTGCAGTCTAAAGTTTCATGTTGTCTGCACATGTACTTTCTTTGGAGACACCATTTGCCTCCTGACAAATCAGAAAATGATCAAGATAGTGACTCTGATTGATTTACATATTGTATTGACATATGACTGATAACATTGCTTTTTTAGTCTTCAATATTTGAGTGAGTCATGCTTTGGAAATTACATTAAATTTTTATTGCCCAACCATTGAGCTGTTTTGTCTTTCATTTACAACCTTTTACTGACTCAAAATGTTGTTTACCCAAACCTTTTCTCTTCGATGCCACTCCCCACCATAAATAATAACCGGTCCCTAAATCCGATACAGATCGGCTGCTCACGCTCTACATATTGCTTGAATAGTTTAGTAAGAGTCATAGAATTAGGAGAGTGGAAGGTTGTGGTTTTTGATGCTGGTATTCTACATTTATTTTCAGGTAAAATTGTTTCTCCATACCTCTGGGAATATCCTTTTGAGAGAGTATTCAGAAGACCAAATTTTGCGTTTGAAGCTAAAGAGTACGTATACTGTATCTTTTATAGTGTATCGGAAGCAGTGAGCACTATATATTTATCACTTATTTACTGAGACCGGGAGAAACCGTGTGTTTTGTGTACCCGAGACCGCCGTTGTTGCCCGAGGCGAAGCCGAGGGCAACGGCGGTCGAGAGGCCACAAAACACACTGCTTTCCCGAGGTCTCAGTAAATAAGTGTTTTGTTACATAGTATATAAGTGTCAAAGTATGAATAATTCACCGGTTATTGGAGTGAACTTAATTTGAAACCAAAACTGGATAAATGGAACTCCGTAAATGTTTAGTAAAAAGTTTAAAAAATGAACTTTGGACTTCGCGGTTGATACACATGCGTATTGCACCCATTTCATTATTGACCTGTCAATAAATGTTTTATTGCGGACCGGTTGCCGAACATGACGTTTTGTGGACCGACACGGTTTTGACCAATCGGCAAACAGAAAAATTGAACTTTGACACTAACTATATAGCAAATATATATATAATATATATATACATATACTCCTTGCAGCCTTGTGTTACATTAATTAATAGAAAGGGACTGGTACTGGACGTCAATTTCCGCTAGTTTGGCTTCACGTTTAGGACGGGGAAAAACTATTCTGCACTCAGTTGACGTAGTGACATCACACCGAAGATTTGTGGGAAAACTTCGTTTTGGGATGGGTTAGGTTCAAAATCTCGGAGTGACGTCACTACATCAATTATTGCTTTCCCTTTTTGGACGCGAGTTCTTACTCCAGATATATATATGGAGCTCACTGATAGGAAACTGCCGCTTCTTTCTGTAAAGTTGTCCACACTTACTTTCTCTCCAGTGTTGGCAGATGAATTTTGAAAAAGCTGATGCTAGTACCATGGAATCTTCGTATAGGAAACTTCCTGTCGTCACTGTCTAAACCTAGTTGCAATCTGTGACGTCACGCGCATTACCAAAGTTCTCGGTATTTTTGTTGTTTCGCTATATTTTCCGCTTTAAAAGAGTAATATTGAAGCATAAACTGGTCTAATTGTTTTAAAAACATGCCTAAGCCACGACAAAGTATTCAAGGTAAATGTTTTTCGTCTTTGTTTTCTATTTTTTTACATTTGTAGCTACGAAATTGGCGTCGCCATTTTAACGAAATTTGCGATGCATTTTTCACTGTTTAGTGCTTGAAATATTTGCTAAAATTGACTGGGAATACTTAAAGATTTTATCGTAGAATGGCGTAGTTATATTTATTTGCTCTTTGACTAAAATGTTTAGCTGCATTATTGCTAAACATGCCGTTTTTGGGAATTTGATTTGCAACTAGGTTTGAACATATCCAACCACGCCATCAGCCCATTGAAAACATTAGGTCACGTCAGCTAGTTTCCTATCCATTTATTTTATTATCCATGCTACTACAGAGTTGAAAAGTTCACAAAATATCTTCACAAATTGAAAAAAGGTTTACCTTGCCCCTTGTGGTTAGACAATGATAAAGTTACAGCTGTATGCATTAGGAAGTGATAGGAAGGACGCTTGTATGCCCTCATGTAAAAATAATTACATTTTTAGGATAATTTGCAATTTTTCAAATGTGACAGATGAACTCCTCTACCACCACTCCCTCAGTATATCTTTGATTCAGCATTTAGAAGCTGGGACCTATGTGTGACCTTACGTGTGGCAGAACATCCGGCCTCTGTAGAAACCCCAAAACATCCCCATTTATTACCATTAATCTGATCCAACCAACTTGTTCTCAATTTCAAACATCAAAATGACCTTGAAAGGTTTCGAATTCATTTGTTCATTAAAAGTTCGCAAATTGAGAAAGTTCATAAAATGTGCACAAAAAACGTTTGTTCGCAAAATTTGGAAAATCGAACAAAACGTTCATAAACTATGAACTTTGTTAATAATCTGGTACCACCGACCCCTCGTGAACTGAAACATGAGGGAAGATGCAGTAGAGATGGTTCCGCTTTATTCGACAGATTTAGAAAACACGACGCGATCTCGAAGACGCCTTCGAAACAAAGGAATTTTTCATGCAAGCCACGAAAGTATGAATAGTTTGTAATCCCAGGGATATTCTAAACAACGTCATCCCGAACACAACTTTGAACTAAGATTTTCACGTCTTTCAAGCAACTTTCACGCATGTTGCGACGCTAGAGTTTTTACCTAAATTCTGGCTTACAGCAGACCCAGTACCACATCGTTTTTTTCAGAACTTAGCCATTTGTAAGGTTATTTTAAAAAGCTACAAATATTACAGTAATCAAATTCCTTAGCGCTCCTTTATGAGCTGAAATTGAGATCGCGTTGTTGAGTCGTCTTTTCTAAATCTGTCTATAAACTGAATTAAAGCCTGCCGCACACGAGAGCAACTTGCCGAGGTAACCGTCTCGTGGAGGCTAGTTCAGTGTGCGGATAGTTTTCGTGAGGATTTGACCTCTCGAGGCCTTGAGGAAAATATCTATCGTGTTTGATATTTCTTCACCTCGCAAGGAAAAAATCTCAACGTCTGCGGATGTTGCGAGCTTAGTGCTGAACTGCTTGAATTAACTAGCCAATGAGAACCCATAGTTTCTTCACGTGACTTTGGTCAAAATGGCAACAATGGAGAGAAATGCAAACGATCTTATCGACGATGTTGCTGTTGAGTAGCTTTCCCAACGTGTGCGGTGAAAATGCATGGTTTCTCTCGGCAAGTTCCTCTCGTGTGCGGCAGGCTTTACTTTACGTAGCCCTCTCTCGTTAGAAACTAAATTATATATTAAAGGGGTTCTGATGTACAATGATGCCCGCATTGTACGTTCCTTTGATGTTCATACAGCGATGGCATATGCATATATTGACCAGACCTGGAAAAAGTGCTCAATGTTCCTCGGATCCTGAATTTGCCTTTTTAAAATGTCCTCAATTATATTGGTTGTAAAATTGCTGAGGAAACAAAACAATCTTCAAATTCTATTAACAGGATATGAAGAACACTTCGTAATCTCAAAATAGACTCAAATGGCAGATAACTAAATATGATTTCTTAAAATTCTTAAAATTCAAAATGTTCCTCAATCTTGTTGCTAAGGCAAATGTGCCTCGGGATCCAGGATCCGAGATCCCACTTTTTTCCAAGTCTGATATTGACCTTTGGATGCGATTTTTTTCTCCCTTTTCAGGCTTGCTTTCACATACTGGACGTACATCAGTCACAGAATCCCTGCTTGGATTGCGGACATTATGGCGAAGTTCGTTGGCAAGCAACCAATGTAATGAATAGTTTATACATTTCATAAATACCTACATTACTGCATGGAGGAAAATGGTTGACACACATTGCAAAATTGAGTGATGATGTTTCGATTATATTGCAATAGACCTTTCAGCACGTACTGCGTGGTTGACCCATCGATTAGCCTGCTAATACAGCTTCTATACAGTATATCGCTTACGTACTCCGTAATCGGAAAACCCGAAATCAAAATGCCTTCTCCGATCCAATTTAAAAACAGTAATAGACAACTTGCATGTTAGACTAATTTTTGATCCAGGCAAACAAAAGCAAATTCCCGTAAAGAACTTATTAAAATTAGTAAAATTGCAAAATTTGGTTACGAAATGTTGTAAAATACGGAAAATATAGCGTTACGAACTTTGCATATTTTCAGTATGTTTGTATTACGTGCGGAAATTGTTACCATTTTTGAGCTGAAAATGGTAACAATTTCCGCACGTAATACAAACATACTGGAAATATGTAAACTTCGCAAGCCTATATTTTCCGTATTTTACAACATTTCGCAACCAAATTTTGCTGTTTTACTAATCCCATTATGTTATTTTTACCTGCATGTGGTGTTTGATTCCCTTCTCTTTACTTAGATTAAAATTTAGTCTAACATGCAAGTTGTCCATTCAATAGATCATTCTTATAACAACGTCAAACGCGGAAAACCAATTTATGCGATGTCCCACAGGACAATACATTTTATGAAAACATAAATTGCATTGCGAATTGTCACTAAAAGTTGTCTCTTGAGACATCGCACCAAGCGTTTTTCCGCGTTTGACGTCATTATAAGAAAGATCTTTAGTAATGATGTATCGCTGTCCATAACTTGGATTGCGGAGGTGATTGGTTATTTCCATGAGTATTTATAAATATGGTGAAATGTTGTTGAAGTCTTATATTTCTCCATTATATATGCATTAGAGTTTTGGAGGCCATTCTTCGGATGGCAGCAGTCAATCGAGATATGGACTGCAGGAAACTCGGCAAACTGCACGGTTGAGTGTTCGGTGGCCAAGTGGTTAGCGCACTTGCTTTTCACCTCTGAGGTAGCTGGTTCAAGCCTCAGTGAGAACTTTCTCATTGCGACTCGAACCCAGTCCTCATGTGAAAAGAGTAAAAGTCAATGCTCTGCCAAAAGTCGTGCGTTTCCCCCGGGTAGCCCGGTTTCCTCCCACGGAGAAAGTTGACAGGGTGGGTTAGGTAAAAAGGGCCCACAGTAATTGGCATATGCTGTTGTGGTGACCCTGCCCTAGTTGGCAAAGCTAAATAAATAAATTCAACGAGGCGATATCATGGTTACTTAATTATGTTAAAATTGCATTGTCTTCACAAGTCTGCACAAACATGAACAAAAAGATTGAACGTAGATTTCCGCAGAGTTTCCAGACCGTGTTCTCATTGATGCATGCACATACATGACCAGTCTTGATATGGGGGATTAGTACTATTCGGTAAAGGGAAGGTTAAATCTGCTTTTGCCACACATTGTATATATTAAAGCATTGACAAGCATTGTATTTCTAGGCCTAACGTTAATCTGCTTTTGTAATAATTTTCCTGTTCATGCGTGCATTTTTTTTGTAGAATGCAGAGGAATTATGTGAAGCTTGAAAAGGCCATGTCAACACTTCAATATTTTACCAAAAGAGGATGGACGGTAAGATATTTTCTTAGCACAGCAAATTTTTGTGAATTATGCAATTTCTGATGAAACTAATTCTGGCAAAGTTGCAAAAGCAGTATCGATATTGCATTTTAAGATGTACATGTCACACACAGTGCTTCCATTTTCAAAAAACATAATTTCCTTCCAACCGTTCGGAATTTCCTTATTTTTGAAAAAATTTCCTTGCAATAAAAATTATTGAATTTTACCTAATTTAAAACAGACTTTATAGTAATTTATCTCGAATAACGGGGTATTTCTTGTTCTAGAAGGAACATAGACGTTGCAGGAGCTGAATTATCAAAGGGGAGAGACAAAGAGTTTAGTTAGATTAACGCAGAGGAAAATAAGGAGGAGGGTCTGGGGGCCCTCCCCCAGAAAGTTTTCAGATTTTGCATCTCGCAGACAGGATTTTAAGCGTATTTTGAAGCACATTTCCTTGAAAATTGCCTTATTCTTAGGATTTTTTAAAAATAAGGCAATTTCCTTCACATTTCCTTCAATCTTCCGAAATTTCCTTCAAATTTCCTTCAGATTCAAATTTCCTAATAATTTCCTTCAACTAGTTCAAATTTCCTTCAAAATGGAAGCACTGGTCACACATAAGTCATAAACACTACTATACGCAAAAGTAGATTTCACAGAACTTGCCACAACTTGGAAAAACATGTAAAATAGATTTTACAAAGAAGTCAAACGAACTTCACAATAATTTTTGTTTGAGAATATATAATCGAGAAATATGAACATCTTATGTTCGCAAAGAGGATTGACTTTATTTTCAGTTCTGATTCATTTCTTATGCGCGTATTTCCATGCAATGAAAAGTTAACCTAAAATCTTTCTGGCGTATACCTCTCAAAATCACTTTGTTGTAGCCTTATTTTCTACTTTATATACAGTGAGCTAACTTTTGCATCTGGCTGTTGAGAAACATAAAATGATAGGAAAAAATGTCATTTAAAATAAAACTACCAATGATGCTTTAAAATTGATGCCATAATATTTATGGCAATTTAAAGATGCTGTAAAGTCCGTAATGTAAACAAACGCTTTGTTTACATTTTGAACTGCTATATTTGTAAAATATGATATACTAACTGAATATCTAACACTTTTCTGGTTCGCTATGCTTGTAAATGAATATAAACTAAACGTTTCAATTCAAAAAAGTTCGAAAGATGCAAAATTTGGGCAATGTTTATATCTGCGGGTCCCCCTTTGTTATGAGCAGAACTGATGCGCAGAACGGACTTTACAGCATCTTTAAGAAAAACTTACTGAACTTCAGACATCATTTTCTCTGTGGTGTACCATCTAAAATCGCTTCATTTTAGCATTATTTTACAAATAAAGCACTATACTTTTTGAGCTTGTTTGCATGCCGATTGAGAAACATATAAAAATTAAAATTATACTCATTAGTTCTCAGCACGTGTTACGTAACATAAAAAAAATCATCTCCTCTTTTAAAAGGTACATTCTACCATTTAAATCTTTTTCCTGCAGTTTAAACCGGATAACTACAATATGCTGCTTTCTGAACTTCAAGGACGTGATCTTCAGGTAAACCATGGTATATTTTTTAGATATTGTCGATTTCAAGTCACTTTTCAACGCGCGGTCCCCAAGTTCGTTGCAAACTCGCCAATTACGTTCAAAAATTGGGCGTGAACTTCGCAACAAAGTTGGCAAGTGCATGTCAGTGTTTGAACTATTGTAATAAATAATTATAATAATTAATGTAATTAATACTATATAGTTCAAGTTGAAATTAACAATTCAATGGAGAGTTCTTGGTCCATTAGGCTACCAAGAAGGTTTGTATTTCATTGAATTGGTTATTATTATTGAGTATGAACATTTGTTTACAAACGAAGTTCCAAACATTGAAATGAACTTGCGAAGTTTGCGCCCAATTTCCGAACTTGGAAACGTAATTGGCAAGTTCGAAACGAACATGGGAACCGCGCGTTGAAAAGTGACTTGAAATCGACAATAAAGTTAAGCTTACTTTTACTGTACAATTTCGGGTATTGGGCTAGCTTGCAAGTGACGTCACAACACATATTTGTTGACGTCCGCCATTTTGGGTGGCAAATTAATAATAGATATCAAAAGCAAACGTGGCGTCAGTTCAAGTCTGTGACACTGACTATGGCTGTTGCTTTTGTTTGATGGTCCACAGCTGTGCAGTGGTCGGTTGAATAAAGATTTTTACCACCCAAAATGGCGGACTATTTTTGATGATACGTCATACTGCAAGACCTGAATATAAGGTGTAGACAATTCAAAATGGCCAACAACATAAAACGTAAGCAAGTTTTGCTAACTTTAGGTATACAGTATATAGCTTCTAATTTACACCAACAGCCTAGTGTTTTTAATAAGACATTAGTTAGTTTGACTTCTCTTTGTTACTGCATGAGTATTAACCTCTAACATACATGCATGCATAAATGTGTTGCAACTTCAGCCTGTCGACATTAGTCAGCAGTGAGTTCAGCCACGGTTTGCTTACATTTTGAAATCAATGGGATTTCCTGCAATCTGATTGGCTCTTGGCAGTGCGATTTCAGCACGGAGTGCGATTTCAAAATTTCTCGCATCAGCTTGAGCTGTTTTCGCATCCTTTTTTTCAACCAATCAGATTTAATTATAGGATTCAACCAGCCAATCAATTTTAAGAAAAATGTGATCAGGCAAATCATCATTCGTTTTAGTAAAATTCTTATTTAGTTATCAATATAACTTTAGCTGGCTAATTATGTTTGAACAAAGCGAAAAGTATAGGCTGGGCAAATCTAAAAATACAAATAATAATGGGAGGTGTTTTTTGCAAACAAAAATACTATTTCCGGTTTTAAAAAATGTTTTAGATTTCAAAATGTATATATATTAAAGTGGAAATTGAACTTCGTGTCGTTCAATTTTGGTCTGAATCAAACTTGTGATTACAACTCGCGATTTTGTAATCACGCGTTTGATTTCAGACCAAATTGCACTCCCTCCACTAATTAGTTCTCAATATAATATTTCTTTTTCTTCAGGAGTTCTCATTTGATGTTCGTCGTATTGAGTGGGATTCATACTTCAGAGATTTTGTTATTGGTGTTAAGAAATACTTATTAAAAGAAGATCCGTCTGACCTGACAGCGGCTAAAAGACGATTTAAAAGGTCTGTTTTGTTAGATTAAAAAGTATGGGTATATTTAAGTACTATGATTATCACTTATTTACTGAGACCGAGGGAAACATCGTGTTTGTTGCCCCGAGACCGCCGTTGTTCTCAATAAGTCTCAATAATTCACCCGAAACTCTTGAAACACTTCCGGTTTTATTATTGACCGGTCAATAATTGTTTCATTGTTGACCGGTTGCCTCCTCACCAAAGCATGCAATGAACATTACGTCATGTTGTGTGGACCGGCGCGTGATACAGTTTTGTCCAATCGGCAAACAGGAACATTGAACTTCGCTATATAATAACACAATTTCTAACATATTTATTTTTACGTGCTGCTGAAATTTTTATTCGGGAAATTGACTATAATGTCATGAAGATATGGAGATCACTACTACTATGGTGGCCTATCGCTGCCATAAGAAAATTCATAAAATTTTTATTTATTTTTTTCTATCGCTGCCATAAGAAAATTCATAAAATTTTTATTTATTTTTTTTATTTTTATTTATTTATTTTTTAATTTTTTTTTTTTATTTTATTTATTTTTTTTTTATTTTAAAAATAATTTTATTTGAAAACAAATCAATTTAAAAACAAAATTATTTGAAAACAAATCAATGTAAAAACAAAATGAAATGATATTAAAAACAAATGAAAACAAAATGAAAATTACCTATGGCCTATCGCTGCCATAAGAATTTTTTTCGGAAAAGTAAATTGAATTTAAAAACACCACTGGCCTATCGCTGCCATAGACCAATATGCATTGCGGTCGGAAAAGAGGATATTTTGCTTCAGCAGAGTGGAAGCACTATAAACTCACATGTTTTCAAAATGGCAGAATTCTCGAGACGAGACGAAATGAAGCAAAAAAGAGCAAGAAAAATGATTGAAAGAGGGAAAAATTGAAGAAATAGTTGTACAATGCCAAAGCTCAGATGTCTCGGGCAAGGCACAAAAGTACAGCAGAGTTGAGCCGCGAGAATTCGTGCAGTTTGGTGAAAAGGATACGAGCATGGAGAACAAAATATATAACAGGAAAGGCTGCTTGTCTGAAGCATTTTGCTTCCAAAATTGGTCCAAACACGATTTGTGATATTGTCACTGCAGAGCAGGGAGCCGTCATATTGTCGCTATTTATAGGGGCCAATACAGGGGTCGTCATATAGGGGCCTATATATGGGAGCCGTACATATATATATGATATGCCGTAAACCTCCGACTATATTCAAGCCCTGGGCTTATATACTTTCGTAAGCGATTTTGATGGGCTTATAAAAGGGGGGGGGGGGCTTATATATGGGTGGGCTTATACATGGACGATCTTTTGTGTTAGTAATAAACAAGTCAGACATAAACAAGTCAGTCATAAACATGGTAATAAACGTGTATTAAGCAGCAATTACTGGGCTTATATTAATTGGGGGACTTATATTTGGGTGGGCTTATATTCGGGGCTTATATTTGGAATGAGGTGAGCGTTAGTACATGTGGTGGGCTTATACACAGGGGGGGGGGCTTATATTTGGAGGTTTATGGTATTGGCCATATTAGGGGCCAATGGACCTTTCACCTTTTGACTAAAATTTAGATCTCAACAAGTCTAGACAAACATTTTATCACAGCTTGAAAGAGCATCACAAAACTAGTAATATTCCAAAGTTTCATTGCGAAATGTTGTAAAATGCGGATAATATAGCCTTGCGAAGTTTGCCATTTTCAGTCATTTTGTATTACGCGCGGGAAATACATACCTCCATTTTCAGTCATTTTGTATTACGCGCGGGAAATACATACCTCGGAAAAAGGGTATGTATTTCCCGTTTGTAATACAAAATGACTGAAAATTGCAAACTTCGCAAGGCTATATTATCCGCATTTTACAACATTTCGCAACGAAACTTCGGAATATTACTAATTTTGTGATGCTCTTTCAAGCTGTGGTAAAATTTTTGTCTAGACTTTTTGAAATCTAAATTTTAGTCAAAAGGTGAAAGGTCCATTAAATCACTAGTTTTCGAATCTGCATGCGTGTCTGGTATCTGAATTAGCATGTGTGGTTTTAATTCGTAGTTTTCATTTTTTCACCAAACATAACAAAGTAAAATACTGTTTATTACAGTAGTTCATGCTCTTAGTTTATTTGCATTTGTTGCTTGCCAGAGCCTTTTTTAAGAATTTGTCTGTGGGACATGGCCGAATTTTGAGGTGCACACATCCCCCTGAGATTACCTTCATTACTACATACAGTTTGTACACTGCATGCATATGTCACGTTGTTGACTTTGGCCCATTCTAAGTCCTAACATTCCATGGGGGTTGGGAGCTTGACTGCTGCACCTTCCCTAAATTTCCATCAGAATCGGGCCTTGCCACAGGGAGAGAGCAATCTACAAAAAGGGATCACACTATTGTGTGTAATAGTAGGGGGCGTTTGGGGTTTTATATTTTTCACCCCTAGGACTACATTTCGTGCATTTTCTGAACAGATTTTTGGATGCACAGCATTACATACTGTAGATATATTCTCATAAAATCTTCTGTTAAGTACTTCCTTAATTGGATGTTTATGTAAATACCACAACTCGGTCTGGGATATGCTATCCAATGACTCATTGAGGCACGGGTTATGTATTCAGGACACAATGTTTAGCATTTAAAAAAAAGATATTGAATTATTTGAAGATAAATACAGGACATAAGATTCACAAAGCAAATGTCAGTTACTGGAATATCAAACGTCCCTTCCAAATTCCATTTTTTGTTTTTCTTATATTTTATTTAAGATTTATTAAAAAGACCAATTTAGCAGTCAAGGACTGAATTACATCGGTTTACAAGATTAAAAGGACAAAATACAATTAGATTAAGAATTATTATAGTAATAATTACATGGTTGATTATATTAAGTTTTACTAATGTTAAAAGCATTACTTCTAGCAATTATGAAACTATTTGCATATCTATTAGTTCTACACCTAGGTATTGATAGTTTGTTATTACCACCACGAAGGGAATATTCTGTATCCCGATTGGAAGGGACAAGGGAATGTAACTTATGTGCTTCGTCAGTACGCATTCGTTCAAAAAATCTCTCAAAAAAGGCCCTGTTAATGCTTGCAAACACTCCAAACAGTACTATCGTTAGTATTGTCTAACATATCCATGCACTATACATCTATATGTCTATTCCACTTATCTGAAATTTGTACTTACCTCATGGTCCATTTACATTATCTTACCAATATATGTTATCTTTTTATTAATTGCCAATGTGCGATCATATATATAATATAGGTGATATGACTCATATGGTGATATGGAAGGCATACACCTAATCAATGTTTGTTTAACTATTGTAAACTCATACGGTGTGTTCTTCAGTATTGGAATAGACTGTTATATTATTTTTATTTGTCAAGTACCTTCAAACGACTATATAAAAGCTGTAAACTTGATTTGTTGGGTCAACAACCAGGTGATGGTAAGGACGGTAATTCGGTTATTAAAGTTCTGTCAATTCAACAGTAACCAGGTGGAGGCAAGGACGATATTTCAGTTATTAAATGTATATAAACAGCAACCACTAATCAGGTGGTGGCTAGGAAGGTATTTCAGTTATATTGTATATTGAAGATAGGTAATTGTAAATTGGTAATTTAATATATTTATCTATAAGGCCCCCTATAAGGTGGCCCCTACCTACTTTCGTACTTTGGCTCCTAATAGCGACAATAATACAATATGACAGCCACTATATTGGCCCCTATTAAATATGGCCAATATATATACGGCTCCCATATATAGGCCCCTATATGACGACCCCTGTATTGGCCCCTATAAATAGCGACAATATGACGGCTCCCTGCTCTCCAGTGACACTATCACAAATCGTGTTTGGACCAATTTTGGAAGCAAAATGCTTCAGACAAAGCAGCCTTTCCTGTTATATATTTTGTTCTCCATGCTCATATCCTTTTCACCAAACTGCACGAATTCTCGCGGCTCAACTCTGCTGTACTTTTGTGCCTTGCCCGAGACATCTGAGCTTTGGCATTGTACAACTATTTCTTCAATTTTTCCCTCTTTCAATCATTTTTCTTGCTCTTTTTTGCTTCATTTCGTCTCGTCTCGAGAATTCTGCCATTTTGAAAACATGTGAGTTTATAGTGCTTCCACTCTTCTGAAGCAAAATATCCTCTTTTCCGACCGCAATGCATATTGGTCTATGGCAGCGACAGGCCAGTGGTGTTTTTAAATTCAAATATTACTTTTCCGAAAAAAATTCTTATGGCAGCGATAGGCCAGTGGTGTTTTTAAATTCAATTTACTTTTCCGAAAAAAATTCTTATGGCAGCGATAGGCCATAGGTAATTTTCATTTTGTTTTCATTTGTTTTTAATATCGTTTCATTTTGTTTTTACATTGATTGTTTTCAAATAAAATTATTTTTAAAATAAAAAAAAATAAATAAAATAAAAAAAATAAAAAATTTAAAAAATAAATAAATAAAAATAAATAAAATTTTTATGAATTTTCTTATGGCAGCGATAGGCCACCATACTGCCGAAGGCTTATTGATCTCAGGTATGAAATATTACTGTTTATATCGTATAATTATAACGTACAAGGACCGTATTTACTCATTTTATCTTGTGGCTGTGTGCTATTGTTTCTCCTGCTGTGGCTGGCTGCTATTGCTAAAATTTGAATTTGCGCGCGCGAGGTTTAATATATTGAATTTTTTCATTTCAATGCCGTCAAATATTAGTTAAAATCAACGATTCAAATTTTGGATAAACACATCGTAGCAAATGCTGGGTTGCACTTGCCATTTGTTTGACAAAACTGGAGAAAGCATGTTTGAACCCACATAGTATATATTATAAAACAACATGTGAATACGAATAATATTTACATTGCTGATTGCTACAAGCCTATTAGACAAAACATGAAAATTATTTGAGAGTATTAAACTTACAATTACAATGTTATCTATCTGAATCATAAAATTGTTAACCCAAAATATAGAATTGATTATAATATTAGGTTATCAGTTCAGTGCATATTTCTTGGTTTATAGCATGTAAATGTTGACTTTAAATTAATATTTAACCCATTGGCATTGAGCTGGAATGTGCCCCAGTGCGCCCTACTTCTTTTCACTTGTCTAACGCCGGTTTTGTCACTCATGTTTAACCCTGTATATATGTGTGATATATTGTGCCTGTTTATGTGATAATGGCTGATGGCTGGACAGGAGGTTTTAATCCATGATGGTGTGTTTAATATACAGACGGAATACACCCCGCCTCTCCGCCTGGCAGGGATGATAGAGTGCTTGTATAAGAATTTCTTGTCCTGGCAGATGCAATCCCGGCAACAAATAAATGGGATCCTGCCTAGGCCAGAAAGAAGTAGAATAATTCACTTTACCGTAGACAGTTGATAGAGTTTATATTGAAAGCTAGATGAGATGGGGTGTTAACGGGATATCACACTAGGCCGGGCATTGCATAAGCTGCATTGTGCCACAACTTTATTGTTTTACTCCTTCTAATGTCAGATGATTTTACCTGTCAGTGCTATCACTCAACAAGGTTTCTGAAACAAGTAGCACTTATCTCCAATACAACTGAGGTTAAATCATAACCATATGAATGTTTTCTGGAATGAGGCAATAGCATAAATCACAAATACCAACACCATTGCCTTACATTTTATACCCATCTAATGGATTTTGCTGCAAAAATTCTTTCTCATGTTGTAAACTGTATCCTACATGATAGAATGATTACAAATAAATTACTTATTTCTTTTCGTGGGAAAATTTGAGTCATTATGGTCAATTTGAGTCCCAGAAATCATGGTCCCACAGTCAAAATGTCAAATTTTAACCCATGAAGTTGCATCGCACCCTTTATTGTATTCCTGTCTAATGCCAGACAATTTTATTTGTGAGTGGGAGAGTGATGGTGGTTAATTGGTTAAGGATGCCAAGTTATATCATTATGCTTTCAATAAGTAACAGAGTTGTAATTTAACACTTGCCCGGGGCAAGTGAATATCATTGCCACAAAAAGCTGGGCATCTTCAATCATCTTTATGTTTTCATTGCCAGATAATTTTTTATTTTGTTTTTTTTGTGGGCCACAGCTAGGTCTGAAGCAGTATAACATAGCCATCTAGAGCAGTGGAAGAATGTGTCGACATGTTGTCCCCTTAATTTACTATAGCCCCTACCTGGGTACCCCAGTGGCCATTGTCTGATGGCAAGTGAATTTTATTCAGGGTAACTAATTTTCATATCCAACTTGGCAAGTTGAACTTGCCCTGATGACAAATGGTCAAAAAAGAAAAGTTATACCACTGACTACTGAGTAAAGTATATGAGCTACAGTATCATGGAATCGGTACAAAGCGTATCAACGTTTACAAGAAAGGACGAATGTAATTTAAAAACATTACAATATTAAAAGGTTTGTTATAACCGTGCTCGATTGTGAAGAGAGCAATGCATTGAATAACAACACGATGGAGCCCGTACTGCGAGTATTAACGATTTGCTTTGTTTCTTGACTTGACTGTAAGTAAGAATGTAAGAATGTTCTTGTAAATTCAAAGCAAAGAAAATTAAAAAAAATTAGCAAGTATTTTGAACATAATAATTCGCAAAATTTATGTTTTTAACGAATATTCCATGTTTATGTAATTTGATACTTTCCCCACACCCGCTCAGGCGCTAAATTTTTGATGAGGCACGTGACCAGCCGCAGCCAGGGTCTTTCCCAAAGAAAATTCCTGGGTACGAAGTTGCCGTTGCGGCTGCTAAAATTTAAATTTGCGCGCGCAAGAGTTCGTACGTTTTATATTGAAATTATTTCATTTCAATGCCGTCAAATATTAGTTAAAATCAAAATTTCAATTTTTGAATAGACACATTATTATTATAAATAGTAAATACTGGGTTGCACTAGCTTGTTTGAAATCTTGTCTGAAACCATGCTCATATTACCATATATAAACAATATGTCAAAATTTTACTCTATTCCTACATATTTGCTGATTGCTATAAGCCTAAAAGCCAAAACATAAAAATTATTTGAGAGTCTCAGAATATTGAACTTGAGAAAATCACAATGTTATCTATTTGAATCAGAAAATTGTTAACCCAATATATAAAATTGCCTAAAATTATCAGTTCGGTACTATTCTAGAGTCTTGGTTAGCATGCTACAAGCATTAAATTTTTGACATGGTTGGATTTATCTGTTCTGTTAAATTAATCACCCGCTCCGATGGAATTCCAAGATATTTCAAGCCATTGAGTGGCTGCTCTCTTTCCTTGACAAGTAAACTGTCTAGTAAAATAGAATGAATCAGGGCACATTACATCTTAGTGCTGCCCACAATATGGTAAAAGTATAAACCTGATGAGCTTGAAAGAATTAATATATTTATATATATATATATATATATATATATATATATATATATATATATATATATATATATATATATATATATATATATATATATATATATATATACTGGATGTGCCTGTTAATGTGATAATAGAATCGCAGGGGACAGGATGTCTTAATTCAGTCTTGCTGAGAGACTTGGTTAGGGTGTTGTATTTATGTAAAACAGGATGGTGTGTTTACATAGACGAAATACACCCGCCTGGCAGGAATAATAGAGTGCTTATATGAGAATATCTCGTGCTGACAGATGGGTTCCCTGCAACAAATAATGCATGGGATCCCAACTTGGCGAAATAGAGGTAGACTCATTCATTTTACTGTAAACACTCAGAGTTCATATTGCCAGTGGGATCATGAATGCCACATGTGACTAGCCGGGATCACATTTAAAACGACCCCTATAACATATAGAACTAAATGGGCCTAAATGATTGGATAGTTACTGCAGATTTCGTGGGTTTTTTTACCTTAATTTGAGTACCCTCCCCCCTTTTCCCCCAGTCAATGTTGTTTGGGATTGTTTTCTGCTCGGAATGAGCATCACAGAATCTCATTTATTAACGCTAGGATCAACATTGGAAAGGCATGAATGATGGAATTTGTTGCGTTTCACCAATACAGTTTCTTTGTATGATTTTTGCGAATCATGGTAGTTATTTCTTAACTCAATATTGGTTGGATCTTTATGTTTTTGATTGGAAAGTTTGGGAGATGGTGACGTTTGATTTGGCAATCTTTATCAAACCATTTTTTTAGCTATATTTTCTATTTTCCTTCTTAGTTTACTTTTCTTCATTTTCAACGATCTTTTTATGTATCAAATGGGATGTTTTGAAATTTAGATACACATTTATTTATTTCATTTATATCATTAGTAAAATCTGAGTTTGTAAAGTCATAAAGTTTTTGTTGTATTTCAGCAGGTTTTAAGGTTTGTCTAAAAATTCTTTTTGAGTTTTCACACCATATAAATTGAAGAGATAATTCAGACATCGGCAACCGATATTGGTTAATATTGGATAAGTCATTTGTATGTGAGCCAATGTCAGTCCATGTAGTTATTGGACTATGGTTAATGCAATTAGTTCCGTGAAATGTGGTTCTTCCTAGGGAGTCACCTTTTGTTCGGTCGTTTAAAATTCTCTTGTCAGTATTTTTACCAACATTGATGAGTTGTTTACCATGGTTATTAATATAATTAATTATCGAAGTTTTGCTTATGTTTTGCTTGTAGACAGATTTCACTGGTATCATTTATAAAATTATTTCCATCAGAAATAAAATTTCAAGTTTACAAGTTCTTGCATTAAAATCACCAAGGATCATTACATTTCTCTTTGATGCAAATGGCACTATGTCATTTTCCTGTTCATCAAATATTTCATTTTCGAAGTAAACATGTTTTTCTGCTGGAATGTATACAGCACATCAAATAGTTTTTTTCAGTATTCAGCAGATCTTTTGAGATTTTACACCATAGAAACTTTTTAAATTTTAACTATTGAAACCAATTTTTCAAATTTTATTTTGGTTAGTAAAGTGATACCGCAAAAACCTGCGACATAACCGATCGGTATGAGGCATTGCAGTATCAGAGACAAAAGCCGTCAAACCGGGAATATCAATATTAGTGTTACACCAAGTTTCAGTTAGAAAAATGAAATCTAACTGATTAATATGGTCAAGGAAGTCATTGTTTTTGCTTTTATCACCAAGGACATTACTAGACATACCATGAAGCAAATCTTTTTACACGTCGTCGAAGATTGGAACAACGCGGAATGATGGACATACGTTATACCAGTGGGTTATGCAGGGTACGAAGGGATCGATTGATAACGCGAGGAGGCCTGGACGCGGATCAATGATGCACCCGACTATCAATGAGGAGTGCAACTGTCTACGGAAAAAAATGCATCGTCGGCAGCTTTTGGCCCAAGTATGGAGGGGGTGTGGGTTGGTTATCCACTAATCTGTGTGCCGTAAAGGCGTGTACCCGTCGGCGGTTTTAGTGTATCTTCCAAACAATACCGACGAAACGTTCCAGGACGAATAATCTCGGTAACCATAGATCAGTCGAACACCACAATTATATTTATCCATACATTGTAATGGGTTTACCCACTCTACATATATATACAAGAACTTGTGTTTATAAGAACTCGGTATAGCTTAGTTGCAATCGTAGGGCGTCAGGTTCCGTTCCTGCCACAGGGTCTATTTTTGTCTTGTTTGACAATAAATTGTATAATGTATAATACATAATATATAATATATAATATATAATATATAATATATAATATATAATATATAACATATAATATATATTATTATTTATTTAAAAAAAATCCTGGTTTCTGATTGGCTATAACAGCCAACTGTGAATTTGTCATGTCAACCCAATGGCTAACCAAACCTGGATTTTTCACATTCATAATAGCAAAATGACGTCAAAGAGTCAATATGAAAAAAATTTGGAGGCGTTTGCGCCATATTACTATGACGACGAGAATTATATTGACTCGCTGACGCCATCGATATGACGACAACGGCTGCAGAAGGTCTAAAGTATTGTTTTTTTGTTCTTAATACAAGTAAAATACAAATGGCTTCTTCCACTGAAAGGTTCGCCAACCTTGGCGAAGCCGAAATTCAAAAATTACTGGAAGATAAAGATTCGTTAAATACAAAAAGATAAACAAAAGCTTCTAGAATAGGTGAGAACACTTTTCCTAATTCTTGTTTGGCTGATTATTAACGCCGGCGAACAAATGGATTACCGTTTGTTTTGATTTTTTTAAATAAATAATAAAACAATTATTGAATTCGGTTTTCACACAATATGAAGAATTATCAAGCCCTTAGTTTGCCGTTATCAACCTCAGCCTTCGGCTTCGGTGGATAACGGCAAACTTCGGACTTGATAGTTCTTCATATCGTGTTCAACCTCATTCAATAATTGTTAATTATTATATATACAAGGTCTGGATATGAGGTATTCTGCAATCTGATAGGTTCTCTACCAGCAGGATATTAGCTCAAATCCTGCTAGTAGAGAAAAACAAAATGGCGGCCAAACTGAATTTACGATGTTTTGCAAACGAGAAAACGGCAAGTTGTCGCTTTTTATAGCCTTCACAGGATTAGAAACACAATGAAAAAACTCCCACAAATTGTTTTCAGGTTAGCAAATTTTATTTTTAATATTTAAAATGGTTAAAAATATATATTTTTGAAAAAATAATCGGCCGAAAGAGCGAAGATAAAAACATAAACAAAATAGAAAAATATTAAAAATATTCGAAAAGCAAAGTCTGTGAATTCAGACCTTGTGTATATAATAAACATGGCCAGAAATTCGCGACATTGAGCCAATGTTTGGTCAGCAGTAGACCGCGCTAAAATTAAAGATGGCGGGGACCAAGCGTTTGTCCACACGAGATGTTGACTATGCGCAATTAAATAATTTTAGCTCTGTTGTTTTATACAACAATACTGCCCCGCGAAAGAAAAAAGGAAAGACTTTTCAAGTTGAAAGAATAATCGGAAGAAAGAAGGAAAAACACGTAAGTATTAAAGTGAAATTAGCTGAATTTACAACTTAAAATTTCTCTTAAGAATAAATGTCTGTACTAAAAGTTGACATTTTGAAGTAATTGACTCGTTATTCATTATGTTATTCTTGATTTTGTTATATTAGGACTATCTATATCTTATTAAATGGGATGGATGGCCTTTACACTCGTGCACATGGGAACCTTCTGCTCATTTGCCTGATAGTTTACTAAGGTAAAGTTAAAGTGACGATGATAGACTTACACTATTAAATTTACACACGATTCTGATTCTCTTATTTCTACACATGATACATATTAACCGAATTTCTTCTGTCATGTCGTTTCAAGGGGTTATGAGAGACCGCCAAAGCCTTCTGCCAGCAGATTGGAGACAACTGCCAGAGCATTTGCATGTGGTGGTTTGTGCATGCTGAAGTCCAAATCAATGGGTAATGGATACATCAAGCTCGATCTTGATTGCTGGCGTTATGTTACCCAGGGTAAAGGGACACCATCACAGCACAGAGGCCATTTTATGTTTGAAAAGAACGATTTTGATCGCCTTCCAATGCTACCTCCCGACTGGTGGTATTATTTTAATGTACATGGGGAAGGTAAGAAAATAGACTTCCCCATTAAGATTAAGCCTCTAATTGGTTGGTCACCAAAGAAGCATGTCTTTGATGGCAAGAAAGTTGTACCGGGACCAAGGTTTCCAATTGAAAAACTAAGTGTTTCCTTTGCTCGGCTACCCTGTAATAAGAGAAATCTTTTTAGTTAAAGAAACAAATTGTATTATATACAATAAAGGATTAGTGTCACACCATGATATTACAGGGTCGAATTCTTGCTTGTGGCTATTTTATGGGCCGAGTAGATCAATTGATCTAACCTGTTGTACAGTATACATTTATACTATCATCTGAGAATCTTTGCTTGTTTTATCTGATTCTATTTATAAATGTACCAAACAAAGGTATTGTTAATTAAGCCCAAAATACCATGGTGTGACACCAATGGGCCGATTACATGGAGCATTTTCAACCCCGGGGTTGAACTCGGCCCTGTTAACCAGGTTGAAATTTTTTGCGATTACATGGACGATTTCAACCCCGGGTTTAAAACATGATACTATGCGTTCTCGGCATTGATTTGCGGAAATAAAAAAGCCTTTATTTTGTTATAAATAGTCACTACTACGCATGCTCGAATAACTCATGATAATTTCAGCCCTGGGTTGAAACGATTACATGACAACATTTTCAACCCAGGGCTGAGTTCAACCCCTGGGTTGAAATTTCAACCCTGCTATATAGCTGAAGCAGGGTTGAAATTTCAACCCCGGGGTTGAACTCAGCCCTGGGTTGAAAATTTTGTCATGTAATCGCACATTTGATTTTGATAGAGTTTTGTATTACAGACAGGGCTGAAATTTCAACCCGGTAAACAGGGCTGAGTTCAACCCCGGGGTTGAGAATGCTCCATGTAATCAGCCCCTTTTCTTTAATAATATCTGCTCTCAAGGGAAATAGTTTTGTTAACCTTTCTGGTTCAATTGTACCAAGTCTGGATAGCTTATCTGGCAAATATTTGTAAGCAATTGAACAGAAATTTTTCATGCATGTAACAACCAAATTTAAATCTATATGACCACCAAATAGGCAATCCAGGCTTCATACAACCACCCTCAGAATATAAAGATATACATTTGATATAAATATATAAGGATATTGCCCGGGCATCTTACCTGATTATAGATTGACCTAATTTTAGAAGGAATTTGTAAGTGGAAATTTTGAGTGTACATTTTATACATTTATGAGACCTAACCAGGGGAGGAGTTGTGAAAATTGAAAAATGCAACTGTAGGCCCTCTGACAGGAGTCACACCTATGGCCCTGTGCTTCCGGCGCAGTGCTCTAACCAACTGAGCTACAGAAGACAGATACAAGGTCTCGTTTAATGCAGTTATAAATATATACATATAATTATACAAGTAACAATTTGGTTTTAGTCTTTGTGGAGTGCTTCTTTCAAAATATCCTGCAATTTTTCCAGCTTTCGTACTCGTGTTTGCACTCCTAATTCTTTCAGTTTCTCTTTAATTTCTAAAGCCGAAAGATTTTCAATATTGAAGACACTGTCTGAATTGCTCTCTGGTATTTCAACATTGGGGGCAGCTGACAGCTTTCTTCTTTTACTTCTTATTTCAGTTATGTCTGTGGACCAGTACTCAGTATTTGACTTATTATACATTCTAGGCACCCTCTCATGTTGACCTGTTACTTGCAGTCGCTTACTGACAAGCAGGATATCTTTCGGAGCATCCCACTTGTTTGACTTTGTCAGATGAAATTTTCTGACATCGTCATTATTCTTTTCTACCCCTAACAGTGCAAAGAAAAAGATGTAGGATATTACAATTGTTGTTAGTGCTTATCAATATCAGTGTATGAATGCACAATTATTGTTATATTATTTATGCCACATTAAACTGTTACCTTTTCCTGTGAATTTTTTCATGCCATTGTGTCTCTTCATGAAGTTTGGGACATGGTATACCAAGCAGTGCATGTAAGGTGTAACATGTTGCTTTCCAAACCCAGTAACGTCGCCACCAAGCGAAACAAATAGCTCTACCCATGCTTTAGCCTAATACATAAAACAATGGATATTGATTATCAAATAGGAATACAAATTGCAATTATTAACCAATTTGCATCTTGAGACAGCTATTTGTTTCATTATTGTCAGAAATTGGTAAATTATTAATAGCATAATTTTTCGACAAAATCATTCTTCCCACGTATAGGCACAATATGTAGCACTTTCCCCATGCACCTTAGGTAAACCCTAGTCTTAAGCCCCGTTTACACGAGCAAATTTTATTAGACAAATTTCATATGTCAAACATATTTTACTCGTGTAAATGATAAATTTGTGACAAATTTATTGTGACAAATGCATTTGAACAAAAGCTAGCATGCTAGCTTTTGATCAAATGCATTTTATCAAATGAAATTTGTCAAATAAAATTTGCTCGTGTAAACGGGGCTTTAGACTTTTATGAGAAAATATTTCAAACATTTGAATCAGTATATATAGATGTGGATCATTTTAGTTGTACAGACGTAATTAGAAATTATAACAATATCAATACATTTTAGACACTAGGTATTTATATAGTGATATACACATGTATATATTTAGTGTGTTAGATGGTCACTAGTTTATCGGTCAGTGACTATAAAGTGTTTTTACCCTCATGAAATAAAGTTTTTCATTACATCACACATTATGTCCATTTGCACTATAAATACGTGTTGTGCTGTAGTACATGGTAGCGCCACTCACCTGTTCAAAAAATTCATTAACTCTTTCAGGTGAGGGATTGTGCTCATTCATCATGTGATAAATCTTGTCAAAGTCCTAAAAAGAAGAACTTTGTTAGCGTTTTACTTTTGTTATGTCCGTAGATTTTTGCACCATGTACATGCAATTGAATATTACTGTACCTTCCAGATCTTGATAACTGACTCACTTTGGGTTGGCTTGATTACCCCATCTATCTTATCTGGAAGATCCCTCAATAGCTTTTTTTTGTCCGAACCCATCAGGCTGGTAAAATCGTACACACCACTTCCTTTTCCATCACCATTCCTTTTTCCCCAAACATTGAAAGACACACCACATGCCTGGATACACGTAACAATGTCTGACAGATGTTTGCTTGTCCTATCCTTTGGTGCTTTGTTGCCGTTGTCTTTAACTTTAATGTCCCATTCTAGAGATTCGTTGACCAAACTCTTTGTCAGGATGTCTACAATTTTTGGTAAAATTAAAATAAACTGTGATGTAGGGGGAAATGGAGGGTGGCGTAATCAACCATGCACTACGTCATGTACCAGTTCTTATCTTTATCCACCATCTAACAGATAAAGCTAAGGATGAATATCTTACATCAAATTCCAACCCCAAAATTCGATTTCCTGTAGGAGAAAACCGGAGAAAACCCACGACTTTCGGTAGAGCGTTGACCGACACATGAATGTGTGGAGTCCGGATAGGGGATTGAACCCACTCAGAGGTAGAAGGTGCTTGCTCTGTCGATTGTGCCACCGAAGCCCCTTACTTTATACATTTTGTGCTATTGATCAATTAATTTTACTATATATTTGCTCTACTTTTTTCCAATGAACAACAAGCCGTCAAATCAAACCAGACTAAACTAAAACAAACAGACAAATTGTGCGTAAGCAGCGATTAGCTGTTTTGGCCCTTTCCAAGTTCAGCCAATATTAGAAGCGCGTTCTTAAAGACATGGCTTTGCTGGTCGATTTTGGAAACGCTTTCATTTACTCGTATTTGCAAGCTCGCTTTAACTGTTACAAAGAAATGTCACATGCAGTAAATTAATAGTAGCTTGCAAATAGAAGTATCCTTTTGCACTATCGGTTCATTTTAAGAATATATCAAATTAATACGTTTACGAAACCGTGCAATATGTTAATTGCACGTCAGCACGTGGGCTCAAGTGGGTTCGCAATCTCGCATTTCCGCATGTTACAAGTCAGTCACTTCACTAAATCAACTAAAGCTAGGCAAAGGGTAAAGGAATTTGTTATTT